GTCAGCAAGGAGGAGCCTGCGGCCTGCGGAAGGGAGCGAGCGGTCTGTCTGTTCGTTTCTTGTCGGAGTCGGCAATGCGTAGCGCGCGGCCGGAGCGGGGCGGGGCGGAGACGGAGCCGTCCCGACCGAAGCGGACGACGCCACGTGACGGGCACGCAGCTGCAGCGGGCCCGGCCGGAACGGCACGGCTCCAGGCTCCTTGTATAAAAATAAAAAAAGGGGTCGGCGCCGGTCGAGATGAATGCAACGTTGTGGAGAGCGGACAGCGCCACCGAGCCTTGTCCGCGTTACGCGACGCGACTTTGCCACTACGTAGCACGGATACTTCAGGTCAGGGTCGTATCCCGTATCGGATGTATCCCGCATCGAATACGTATCCGATACGGATACACGGCTGATAGGGCCCCGGTACGTATCCCTGGCGTATCTGATTTTTATTTAGTAACTTAAGCAATTATGAGTACGTGGGCCCATACGTATCTACAGGTTGGATACGGCCCAAGCAGCCCAACAAGCTGCAGTCGGAAGAGCCAGAGTACAGCACCGGTCACTGGGCCACAGAACACACCCACTCACGGCCCAACAACATCTATCTTCCGGCCCAAACTATATTCTAAACACCAAAGCTGCATTTATTTAGTTCTGATCAGCCACTACTACTGCCGTGTGTACACATTCTCCACCTCATAACAGCCAGCTTGCATCAAGCTGGTGCTGATGGAAAGAGGCAGAGGAAATATGCTTCATCTTCCCATGATGTTACAGCATGAGCACCATCATCCCATTTTAGTATTGAACCCTACTGATAGTCGTAGTGGCACCTCCCCTTGACTCCCCTTGAGACGAATCTGGATTCTGGAATCTGGAATCTGAACTGGTAGCGCCACAGTTGAATCAGTAATGATAGAAGACAGATCAGTGCTGACCTGTGCCCGGTGTGGTAATATTTCTTCAGTTGGGACACACCACTAGATGGATTTGAGCAGAGCTTGGTAACTCCATTTTGTAAGACTCCTCCTGCCTGTTGTAACGCTTGGCATAATACTTGAGAGATGGTTTCAGGGCCATAATATTTGAGAGAGAGTTTTCATACTTATCAATTAATATAAAAATTACACTACTACACAACAGGCAATCACTGTCAGACTATCACTGCCAGTTCGTGGCTTAACCGATAATAATAAGCGGACTTTCACTGCCAGTTCGACAGTGATATGTTGTTCTGCATAAAAAAACATAAAATTTTCATATGTGGTCGGATTAAGATAAAGTTTATACCAAATTAAAGTATTCAAAGATATCTAACAACTTTATAGTTGACAACTTTTTCATTGAGCTGGTTCACATGTCCTAATATTCAGTTTAAGTTCTTAGATGGATTTGAGATGGTTTACAATGCCGAATGGAGACAAAGTCTCATCAAAGTTGTAATACTCGACAAGATTTACAACCCTGCATTTAATAACCTTTTCATTTGAGATCGTTTAAAGTGTCATCAAATATACAATATAAGATTTATACATTTTTAGTTAAAAATAGCATCAGTTGTGTAGGCGTTGCGTAGCTCAGTTGACGTGGATGCTCGAGAGAATGTTGGGGTCTTGAGCTTGAAAAATATTATAGCTCTTTCTATCTTGGTTCCCGTGTAAAACATGATTTCTTGTAGAATTCCTTCTCTCTCCTTCTTAATTGCAATGCCACGTTAGCATTTTACCTACTTAGCCCTATCTTGGTTCCCTTGTAAACATGGTTTATTGTATAAGGGCACCCTCAATAGTATGAGCTAGTTACTAGCTCTAAGACAACTTCTCTAATAATGTTAATTTTTAGCATATAGCTTATTATAATATGGACAGTGTGTCACATGACACTCTCACATAATCTCAGAATGTGTGTATAAAACTATAAGCCTAGCTGTTGATCAAGAGATATATTTTTCCTCTCTTCTATAGTATAAAATAATATGGTTAGAGCTAGCTCATAAGTCACCATCATAGCCACCCTAAGAAATCAATTCCTTATCTTTCCTCTTAATTATGACAACACATCAGCGTTTTATCTACCTAGCTGCTCTTGATCATTGAAAACCCCTCGTTTAAACCTTTGTCGCTTGGTTTTCTCGAGTTTTTGAATATGGTGTCCAGCTTCTTGGTTTACATGTGGCTACTTACACCTGGGTATGTGCTACAATATTCATTCATTTTAACTACAAGTGGGTTTTCCCTCGGTAGGTTTCCAGAATAGTTTCTAAGAAAGATTGAACTGTGAAAACAAACTTTAAGTCTTGTTTGAATGTCGTCGGATTCACTCCATTGTTAGGGTGAATTCGGGTGGAATTCAGTTTAAGTTCCACTCTAATCTACCTCAACACATGACATGTGGATTGACGTGAATCCGAATACATCCAAATGCTAACTGTTATCGCATCATATTTGAAATACAGCCAGTCGACCACCGTCACGAAATTGCGCAAGCTTTCCTTTTAAAAGGAAAAAGATCTACCAGACGTAGACACGGTCCCGATGGATCCAAACTTTCATCAGGTCCCCGGCGTCCCAATGTCCCATGAATCATGATGGCGAAACAATTGTTTGTTCGCTCGGTACTCTGTGCAGCGGTACCATCATCCATGATCTGTATTGTCAATTTCATTCTTGTTAGGGCTAAACGATGGACCTACCACACTGGAGTATAGTACTCTGGCGATCTGGCCTATCAAGCTCGCACACTGCTGGCCCCCGGCATTTGACCACGCTGACAATTGCACAGCAGTCTGCAGCTCCGAGACCCACCACCTGTTTGTGCTCTTGTACCGTCAGCCCCGGCGGGGACGACGCGCGCGTCCAAAGCGACGGTATGGGGCGCGTCGCCGTCTCGCCGACGACGACCGGTCTCGGCGCGCGATCCCATCTGGAAACCTTTGGCCAGGCAGACACGCGGCTACTACGGTGCCGGGCTGCCGGCCGACCCGATTATTGTTACAGTTGGGGCGAGGTTGGCGCGGCGTGGGTTTATTCCTTCCCTGGCCGCTAAAGGTAAACCCGGCCAGCCCAGCGATCGGCAGCGGCAGTAGCAGCAGTGCAGGTGCAGCACCCAGTTCTGTGGATGTGCATGCATATGTCTTGTTGGCGCGCATCTCGGGACAGGACACTGGCGCATCATGCATGAGAATAATAGCTTTGAGGTCCATGCGATGCGACCATGCCATGCGTCTCGTGGGGGCCGACGTGCCCGCTTCCTACCAAGGAGGTTCCTGAAACCAGCAGCAAAAGGAAGCTGGCAACACAGCCGCTGGGTATAAGGAAGCGTAGCGTCTCGTATCTCTATACGCCGTGCATGCAACTGGCTGAGCTGATGAGGCGAAGAAAAATGCGTGTGCTCTTGCTCTTGTGCCTTGCGACTGTCTCCGGATACGGTGGATGTATCTATTGGATACGATTTTAATGAACCTCGCAGCTTAATTTGGTGCGAAGCCGAAGATAGGAAAACTTATCGGCCTGATGAGGGACCATTTGTGTATTCATCCAAGGTTTGACAGTCAGGGGTTAGGTGACGTGCAACCGCAGATTGCAGGCTTATACAATGCCGGCCAGCCATAAATACGTGCATGTGATGGTCTTTGGAGAATACCGAAAGTATAGTGCACCGCCTCAAGTGGGAACTGAACAGTAACCTAGTGTTGTTTAACAGTGATGCTTGTCTGCAAGTACTTAACTGTCCTTGCATATGCTTGCAACACATGACAAGCAGGACAGGGTTAAACTTAAACATGGCAGCGCACGCGTCACCTGAAAAGAAACCCAGTTCATGAAGGCATAATAATAAAATCGCAAATTAAGAAAGGGCCATAAGCTCGCATCGACACAGAGTTTTATACAAAGCATGTAATTCTAGCACAATATCATAGTTTTATATCTTAAGTTCGATCAATTATAAATAAAAAATTATCAATATTTATGATATCAAATAAATATCATTAGATTAATTATAAAATATATTTTTATAATATATTATTTTAAAACCATAAATATAAATAGTATTTACTAGAAATTTGGTTAAACGTAAACTATTTTTACTAACACGTAACACGTAGATTCTCAAGCGCCCTGCATGGCATGGCAGTAGCACTACTTTTGTGAGCTATGTTTGTGTTCCCGAGGTTTCCCCAGACGATGTCGCCTCTGTTTTATTTTTATTGCTCTTTTTTTCCAAAAAAGGAGCCGATTTCCACGGTCTTTGCAGACAAGCAGTCAAACAAATGTTTGGTGGCAGCGAGGTGGTGTCCTAGTGGTTGGTTCATATCAAGAGAAACCGATTATTGCTGATGTTGATAGTTCGTAACCCCTGAAAGAAACCCATTTCCTGGGTCCTGTCTTTATGTTCTTGTTTAACTTTCCTGCTTCTTGGATTCGAAGAGTTGGTTAGCCATTATTTTGAATTTTTGACGCAATAATTTTTTTTCTTTCTCTTTTGCATTTTTTTCCTTTTTACATACAAATGGAAATTGGTCGGAAATTACAGAACAGAGCAAACTAGTACGCAGCTATCTATAGCTAGTTCACGCCTTGCATTGTGTCAGCATCGCCTCATCATCCCCATCATCGCTGCCTTTTATTCTGGTCGTCTCGTCCCGTCTCAGCTTTGTCAACCTGCAAAACCTTTGCTCTTTTTCGCAACACCATTCCATTGTGGGCTTGTGGTGGCTCAGTGGCTGCGTGCCGACTGTTGCAAAAAAACGCACGAAATTCAGTACATTTCTACGATTTCAGATCGTCTTTATTCCCGGCGTCGTCTTTGCTGGATCGTCATGTCCGAAATGTCCTTTTTTGGTTGCGCTTCCTTTGCCTTTCAGGCATCCACTTTGATTGAAACCGGCGTCAAAAGCTCCCAACAAACCAAACTCTTCAGTTAGTGCAATCAAAACCGCTTGACTTTTATCAAGAAGATGATCATTGATCAGGGCGCGGAATGGGCTTTTCATCCGTCCATCATTGGTGTAATCATCTGCTAATCTTCCTCCTCTTGCTGCAAACAACCGGGGAGCTGTCGTCGTCCTCGTCGCACCAGGAGCTGCTCGCATGCGAGGCGGCAGCAGCAGCAGCAGCAGCCGTGTCATCGCTCCTGTAGCTGAGGCAGCCTGCAGCGTCCAGCACACCGGTGGGGCTCCGCGGCACGGTGGCAGAGGAAGGAGAGGCTCTGCGGCCGCTGCTCGTGCCTTCAGTCTTCAGCAGCGGCTGCGGCACGGTAGTGCCCGGCAGGGCCACGGCAGCCTGGATCGCTTCAAGGCATCGCGACACCCTCTCCTGCAACCGCAGCAGCACAAAGCAACAAAAAAGCATTAATCGCCGTGGCTGTAAATGCGGTTCACGCAACTTCGGCAGGCGTGCCTTGCCTAGCTGCACTGCACAAGCAAGTCGAGTACGGATGCAAACCTACGACCTCGACGCATGCGGTAAACGCTAACGTATTGCATTGCATTGAAAGACGCTAGCTGACTCAGACGACAAAACTCCGTAACGTCGGTCGGGGAAGGCACACGCGTACCTTATGTACATGGTGGGTGCAGCAAGCCCTGTCGATATCCACGGCGTGCTCTTCGCCGGCCACGGCGGCGGCGACGGCCGCGGCGATCTCCGAGGGCCTGAAATCCAAACAGTGCGTTCCTGCGATGCGTTCGTAACAGTAACGTCGTCAGATCGATCGAAATGGATGAGCCAATGGTTTCTATCTATGGGAAAACTCCGCCGGATGCATGAGAATTTCCTGCTTGATGCTCACCTCTTGCGATGCACAGGATGAGCTCCGCAGATCGAAGGACGGCGCGTCTGCTCGGCGCGTCGCCGCCGGTGAGCCGGTGGAGGAAGTAGTCGATGTACGAGAAGGGAGTGACCGCTTGCATCCTCCATTTGAGCGTGCTGAGCACCAGGAGCTCCATCCTCTGGATCGTCTTCGCCTCGAACACGTACCGCGCGTCCCCGACCTGCTGGCCGACAGGATCCAACAACAGTGATCAGGAACAAGGTTTCAGGCCTGGTAGATGGGCGTCTGTAGCTCGACCGACACGATCGGGGCCTGACCGGCTGGCCGCACCCCACTGGAACGTGTGGTGTGTGATCTGCATTGCTCTCGATCTCACCTGCAGGTCCAGAGACGGGGGAACGTAGGTCTCCTCCATCTTGGCAGCCAGGGACAAGCACGCCACGGACAGCAGCTGTGTCGTCCAAGCCTTGCCTTCCTGAAATGGCGAGACACACATGATTGCCGGCACTGAAACACTGGAACATATGGTGCAGTAGAATTTCAAGAACCAAGAAGTAACAGTGCTGCTTCATCATCAGTTCGTCTCGGACGGATTTGATTCTTACCGGAAGCTGGTAGAGCGAGAGGAAGCGGTCCAAGTAGTTGACGGCCAAGCAGGCAGTGAGAGGGCCGAAACCGTAGTATGTGTGAACCTGTCGAGAGGTTAACTGTCAGATTCATAGCCTGATGTATGGGAACGAGCGAGACTACACTACATTGACCGAGCGCCCACCTTCCAAATCCAGTCGATGGCGTCCATCCGGACGCGGAGATCCATTCCGCCGCCGCGCAGCCTCTCGGCGTAGTCCTCCCGCGGCATGTGCGCCGCCTCCGCCTCCACGAAACCGGCGACGCATTCCTCGGACGGCACGGGGAAGACCACGCTGGGCTCCCCGCGCGCGTCCTGCTGCTCCGCGCCAGCATCACTTCCTCCTCGGCCTCCGCTTCGAGGTCCAGGATGCTGCTGCTGTCCTCGGCGCACAGCAGGATGGAAGCCGCCATCTCGTAGCTGCTCGGCGCCATTCCCTTCCCCTCCACAAGATTTCGGTAATCTGGTGCCTGGTGGTAGTGGTACAGATACTGATTGGCTATCTGGCTCTGATAGGTCTCCTCCTCCTCTTCTTCCCCTTCCTGCTCGTGTTCTTCACCTGGCTTGGTGCGAGCGAGGAGGAAGTGGAAGAGGAGGGCGAGTGAGCAAGGTGCTCTGTGCCGTGAGGCCTCTTTTGTATGAACCGGCGTACAGAGTAGGCGAGGGCATTTTCGGCAAGTAGTGACGAGGACGCGATTAGTACGCGAAAGGATAGCGGGAAGGAAGCAAGGATGAGGGTGTGATTAGAAAAAAAATGGATGCTCACTTTCGTTCTGTTTTTCTTTTCTAGTCTGTACTTTGAAGCGCTCTACTTTTTAGGGCTTTTATGACATGGATTTTAGGGTTCTTTGTGTTCTTTTCTTTTTAAATTTCCTTTTGGCCTTTTGACCCAGCCACCCAGGTAATAAGTGGTTACCTTACCCGTAGTAAGAAAGAGCGACTAATCTCAGTTTCAGCGTTGAAGTTTGAAAAAGGAGCAGTGTCATATATAGTCATATATTAATTCAGTACTACCAGTACATTAGTTCACACATATGAACGCTTTTCAGCCAAAAAAGGAAATGAACTTACGTATTTATTTATGTATCTAAACCGTGTCAACGAAACCGCCATGTGGGAAACCAGCCATGGATCGACTGAACAAATTTGAGAATTTTATGTAAGAAAACCCACATTGCATCTCAATGACTCCAACTCCGGTTTTGGAGAACCATTGAAGATGTCGGGTGAGCTTGTTTACACATGGACGGTACTCCAGGTTCATGGGTCGGAGTATGAATTTATGTATCTAAACCGTGTCAATGATGAACGTGTGTACACATGATTAGCTATCTGAAATCTACAGTGTTGAAGGTTTATTTTAAGGTTTTATTATAGTTGATATATTCGGTTCTGCCTAACATTGTCATATCATAGTTCCTATTTTTACTCTAGTTTTGTGATTTGTCATTGGTGTGACTTCGATTTTATTTACACATTTATCTATGGCAGTCACAATATACCTAAGACTATGTGAGACAATGGCTTGGCTTTGTGTAGCATGGAGAAGGATGTTTTTGGATAATATTAATTAATCTTGGTAGTGTTCTTTTTTTTAAGGGAAGGGGATTACATTAAAACTCGACATAGTACATCCCCAGATTACACATGAAAAAATCTAAAATAAAAAATACATAATATTCTATTCAAATTCTTCCATCTTCTTCTTCTCCAATGGCTTTCCTAGAATGGCGAAGCCAAAATACAGTCTTTATGTTGAATCCAATGACCAACCCTAAAAATACCTGAAAGATTGTTGCCTTAGAACATATATATTGTCAGAACTAGAAGTACTATTATTCTCCATGTATTATTTTCTTTTCATTTTCCTTTTTTGTTTTTATTTTTCCATTATGTATTTACTTTGTCATTAAATTAATTTTCTTTCTACTCTTGGACTAGAATATTATCTTCTATTCCAAATATCATTCACCTGAACCTAGAATATTATTCTCTTGCTGTAATTCTTTTGAACCTAAAATACTATATCCTTGAATTGTTATGTTTTTCTCCTATACTATAAAATTAATGTACTAAACCTGCAACATTATTCTTATAAACTTGGAATATTATTCTCCCGACCCTGGAGTATCATTCTCCTAGACTAGAATATCGTTGTCCAAAATCTAGAACATTCTTCTCTCGAAATTGAAATATTATTCTCCAGACTAAAACATAGATTTTTTCCATTTTGTTTTCCTTTCATTTTCTAATTTTTGTTTTTTATCTACATTTTTGTTCTATTTAAGTTTCTTCCTACTCTTAGGCTGGAATATTATTCTCACCATTTCCCTGAGCCTAGAATATATATTATCTCCTTGAACTACTATAGATTTATCTAGGTATATATAATACTTTTGTATTAAATCTTGAATTTTATCATGAAGGTGGAATATTATTCGAATGAAGCTGGAATAACTCTTATGAATTGGAACATTATTGTCATTATTAACATGAATATTATTCTTCTAAACCTAGAATATTTTTCTGGTGACCTTGAACACTTTTCTCATAAATCAATAATATATTTCTCATGATTATTCTAGAACAGTACCATTCCACTTAATAAATCAAAATCTTCCACCTTCAGGGGAATAATATATCTCTAACAAGACATCATATATTTCTTCTATTATTATCAAAATACTAAAGTTGGGGTCTTATTTATATGTATGCTTTTTCTAAGTTTCAAACTTTAGTACAAGCAATATCGAATTCACTTTCCCAAGTATAAATGGGTATGCACAAAATCAAAGGTACAAGGGAGGGGTGGTTGGAGCTCTATAGATCTCCAACTAGCTAGAATGCAAGAATTCCACTAAGAGTCTTACCATGTGTTTAGATTGGAGGTTGGGTTGGGGTGGACCTAGTTTCAATAGTGTTTGAGGTCAACGGTGGGTAAGGGGCTTGATTACATTTAATACCACGGTGCCTATAGGGCCCAAATATTCATTACATAGTACAAATTTTGATAGGTGAAACTGATTTTAACTAACCCTGTGTGTATAACTCAAACCTCCATATGCTTTAACCCTACTAGCATGCCCGCTACACTGTTGTCAGTACATTCTCCATCTGGTGACTCATACTAAATAGCGAGCTAACAAATCTCCATAATTTTGTCATTGGATTTTTCAATTGAATTGATTGCAAGACTCAAGGATCAATTTTACGAAAATCCCATTTGTATTCTAGAAGCCCGTAACATTGGTCCCAATATATTTCCTGGACACACTTTGGCATGGTGCTCCAAGATGTTTTTGCTAGTATTTATCTAGACTTCGATACTCAAGTAATGTTTGGAACGTTCCAAAAAATTTGGAGATACAGCTACAAGGAGATAGGGCAATCTGAGCATAGGGATAGAGAAAGAGGGAAAATCCAAATGAAATGAGTACAAGATAGAAGCATGGACGGAGCTAGGGGTATGCCCCCTTATTCCACGGAATACCCATGTTTTTTGCAACAAAAACAAATATATGTATATGAGTATATATGTATAATTGTACATCATGTTGTAAATTGTCCCATAAGCCCAATCGACCTACCACCAGCCCGCGAAGTCACTAGAAACTGCATCCCATCTCATGTCTCCGCTCTCCCATTTGGCAAATCAGCGTCCCTCATCCATGGTGGCGCTACATGATGAACTAGATATCACCATCAATGTGGAAAGCTCTCTTAGAACCTTTTAGGCACAAAGAGAAAGAGATAAGGGATATATTTGCACAACACCCTAATGAAGACGAACTTTTGCAAGAGAAGCATGCATCTACGCTTTCCAACTTTGACCAACTAAAACAAATGGGTCTGCAGCCTCTGCTTGAATGGCAGACCAATGAACTCCCACCAAGAAGATGGGACAATGTTAGAATTCAGGTTGACGGAAGTACAGATTGGGTGAGGCTCTTTCTTAGGGATAATAATGTGTATGTTAGGGGCTTCGCCAATCAACATAACTCGCATGGGTTGATAGAACCGGTGAATAAGGAAGCCCCCGCCTCTCCTCCCTTCTCCTCTCCTCGTGCACAAAGCAAACAAACCGAAGCACAGGCACCTCCTTGTCTTCTTGTCTCTCAAACCAAAACCCTTCCACTCCCTTCACCCTACCCTGCCATGGCCGCCACCACCGCCGTTTTCCCCCGCACCACCTCCATGACCATGTTGGCGTGGATATGCGCCGTGGGCCACCAGGAACGGTGGAGCTGCGGCTCCCCTCTCTCATAGGAGGATGTGGGCACCGACCCTCGTGCCGTTCAGAGTCTAGGTCCTACAGCTCGCTGGCGTCCCCAAACCGCTTCGCACCCCTCAAGGATCTCGATGAGGCGATGATGTCGCTACGCCCTATGTCACCTGCAGTGACCAAGAAGGTGTCGCCTAGGAAGAAGGCATCCATTGAGAAGAGTTACGTCTAGGTCGCTTGCAGAGAGGGCGAGGGCGCCCGCATCATAGCCACCACCGCTGGCCTACACGCCAGCCTCTGCAGCGGAATCATTCCCTTTGAGGCACGACATACGCTACCTCTACCTGACCTCAACCTCGGTGTCCGCAAGGCCATGCCGCCTATGCTGGGCCAATTGAAAGCTCTAGTTTGATTTTGGTTAATTGATGAAACCCATTAGGACTAACCCTATGCTCTAAGTGTGGAATTGAGATAGGTTGGTCCAAGCCAAGGGTTGGAGCAAGATGAAGTCCATGGTGTTGAAGATGGACATGTGATGATAGTGATCAAGCTCCAAACTTGGAAAAGAAAAAAGAGAAAAAAATGGCTCAAGGCAAAGGTATACTTGATATGAGCATTTTGTTTTGCCACTCAAGACACCAAGTGGGTGTGAATAGGTTTAGGATAGATAGACGTACTATTAAGAGGGGTGAAACTCATCGTAAAATGCAGTTATCAAAGTGCCACAAAATGTTATAACTCATTGCATATGCATTTAGATTCTAGTGTGTGCTTGTTGGTATTTCTTAACACATACAGAAATAATCCGCAAGCGTACGGAATTACCATTGTAGCATTTCACC